ATGGTCTATGGCTTAGTGGGTGATGGTGGGGCATGCTAGAATGCTAGGTTTTGAGCAAAAGAGAGATGAATGAGGAAAGTGGAATATGAAATTTAAAAGTCGGATGAATAAAACAAATGAATGAGCAATGCTATAGGAATGTTTTCAAAAGCCCATGAAAAAAGGAAAATAATGAAATTTGACCATGACTACCACTCGCAAACTAAATATAAATTAAAATTAATTATAGGTATGTACCTGGTGGGTTTGACATACAAAACTTATTCCTATTTTGTTCTGTTATATTTTATACTATTTATCAGTTAAGTTAGTTGATTTCATATTATCTTTGACAAATATCATCTAAAAAGTTAGTTTTGACATATAAATCAACATACAGAACATTTCAAATAATTTTAAAATAAAGCAAGGTTAAAATGAAAATACTCATGTGAGTAACTTATTTGAAAAGTTACACGAGTAACTTCTGTACAAAGTTACTCAAAGTAACTTCTTTAAACTTACTCAAAGAAGCTTATTGAAGAAGTTCAAACTGATCAAATATGTCAAAACCACAGCTCATTTGGAAATTGGAAAGCTTCCTTCAAAAAAATTAGAGCAAGCTGAAAAGCTAACTTATGATGTGCCAAACAGTGTTAGCAAAACCCACAACATGGGGTCACTTAATACTGTTCAAAGTGTATTACCATTTCAGGAAAATGTGTAAGCTCTTCAACTTTGGTCACTGAAACCCCAGCAACCTCCAGAGCTGATGCAGTTCCACCAGTAGAAACAATTGTGAACCTAAAAGCATTTCAGAAATAAAAAATAAATAAGCCCAAACAAAGAAGGCCTTAAACAGCCAGATCGAATGATTTAACAACCATCACATACTCATAATTTTGTAACAAATAAATACCAAATTAAATAATGCGTACATAGAATGGATAATATGAATGGACTAGTTAAGATGCGACTGAAGAAGGGCAAGACAAATGCACAAGAATATTTACCCTAAATCTTGTAATCCATTTCCAAGCATAGACAAATCTTTCTTGTCAGAAAGTGATATCAAAGCTCTCCTTTTCCCTAAATACATAAGCATATATGCAATCATGCATGACTGTCATATGCATTGAATCATATGTGATAGTACAAAAGATAGAAAATGAGAAGAAAGCAAACATACATACCGGAAGTAGAAGATTTGAACTCGCACTTAGGAGTAGCGAGAGTTCCAGACATGGCTTTGATTGACCGCGAAGTAATCTTATATGATGTAGCTACACACTGAAATATGCAATTAAATGTTTAAATATGAATACAATATGTATAAAGGAAACTTAATGCATTCAAAGTATTGTTAGAAAAAAATAAAGTACCTCTTGACGATTGAAGAAACAGTAACTTCTGCTAGTCAATGGATGTAGAGCAGAGCAGAAAGAGCAGGGATGGGTGCTACTTGATGTGGCAACAACGGAGACAAAATTCAGCCGGAACATGTTAGAGTTGAGTATAGAGGTCAGGGTGAATTATTTCCAATCATGGGCAAGTTCTAAAAGCCAAGACCTGAGAACCAAACCGCGTGTCGTAAATAATGCAGTTTCCTTTGCCAAATTTTGCGCCAAAACTGCTAGAAAAACAATAAACTATAAGGATAGGCTCTCCAGTAAAGAAGCATACATGCTTATTGCTTATGAATTTCTCCAACTCCTGAATTTATTGTCTCCGTTTGACCAACTTCACGGAGTTTAAGAGAAGTGTTGAAAAGTAAAGTGAGTGATTGAAATTTGTTTAAAAGAAAGAGAAAAATTATGGACCACATATTTTTCATTTAAATAGGTAAGAAAAGAAGTGAGACAATTTTTTTGTGACTGGCAGAAAAGGAAAGTGAGAAAATTAATTCAGGACAAAGAGAGCATTTAAGTTTAACTGTTTACTATTCCCTCAGTCACACTTTTTTTAAATCTTTTAACGTTTTTGTTCGTCCAATTGTTTTTGTCTCATATCATGTTTTGTCATAATTGTCTGATTCACATTCATTCTTAATTTATCTTACTCTTTAAAAATAGTATAAACCACATAATCTTATTTTTTTACTTCCTGTATCACTCCCTTATGTCCCAAAAAGAGTGGAACAGAGAGAGCACAATTTAGGAATTCAACAAAAAAATCTACATGACACAAATTTAAGAGTGGGTTAGTAATATTAGGACAACCACTTACGGAGTAATATATAGCAATAAATATTATGCATTGCATATCCTAAAGCCTTAAACACTACATAATTGTCGTAGGAGAACAAAATATGCATAAAGTACTGAAAGGCAAGCTGGGCGATTGCCTGAGGCAGTGATTGAGGCGAGAAAGGAGATCGCCTTAGGCACGCCTAAGAGATCTCGCCTCGCTTGGTTTCCTTGAGGCGCTTAGAGCTCACCTGGTTGCCTAAGACGCCATAGGATAGAGCGGCGGGCGCCTTTAATAACTATGGACTAATAAAAGCAAGTGTAACTTATTATTATTAAAAAATTGGACTAATAAAAATAAGAATACCTTTATTATTATTATTGTTATTGTTATTATTATTAAAAATGGACCTATATTAAATATGGTTCAATTGTATGAAGAAGAAAGGGTTCTTTACATGTATTTATAATGGACAACTAAAAATGCATTGACTAGCGGAAAAATAATAGGAAGAACCAACCATGCATTGCTAACGTGACTTGAATGATTATTCATGAATTTTTCAAAGCTGAAGAACTAATTGTGCATGACGCAATAACTTGAAGGACAAACAATGCAATTTAGCCTAAAATTGAATTGAAATGGAGGGAGTACTTGTGTACCCATACATACATACATACATACATATATGTGTGTGTGTGTGTGTATCATTTTAATCTTAGAAGTTTTATTGAAATCAAATGGAGCAATGACTCCAATACAAAGAATGTGGAATAAGGCCTAAACATACACAACTAAACAATAATTCAACTTAGAATTTCTACTAGCATTTCACAACAAAACACACATCTTAAATTTTTCACTCCAGATTGGATATTACTCTGCACTTTTGCAGCCAAAATGTTCTATAATTTGGTCTGCTAACAGACTCAAGAAATATTTAAAACAATTCCCTCAAGCTAACATGCAAAATGGATCATTGTACAAGAGTCAGAAAAAAAGAGAATCTTAGGAATGATAAAAAAAATTGATATAAAAAAATCAACAAATCATACTGTAACTGATAATTATCTTCAAAAATATTAAACAAATACACAGTATTTCTTTTGATAAATAAATCCTAGGAAGAAAAACATGGAATGGGTGATTTACCTTCAAAAAATGGCGGCGAGCAGGCGGAGCAGAGGCGATTTATCTTGACGGGTTGACCCGGGTCGGTGGCGTACGGCGTTGGCGGCTTTCAGCGCCCGTAGATGATGGAATTCGGCCTTCGTCTCTTGCTCTTTGACAGTCCACTTGTGGTGTACTGGGCGTCTGCGTACTTGGGAAGGCGGTATATAAGACTAGGTTTTCAAAAAAAAAAAATACGGAGTAAAAGTAGATTTATTTTGAAATAAAGTGGAATTCATTTAGAATTAATATAATATTCACTTTCCCAGAATGTTTATTAGAATTATAATATTCATTTACAAACAATATAGTGTTTATTCTGAAATAACGTAGTGCTCATTTTCAAATAATATAATATTCCTTTTAAAATAATGTATTATTCATACTACTCAATAAGTTGTTGAAAATAAATATAATACTACACAGAATACAAATGAGTACCAAGACCTAACAAAAGGAGTTCACACAAGAATGAGCATAATTCAATTCATTTAAACTCACCTTCTGCCTCTGTCCTCACTTAGCCTCGTTGTCTTCGAGCTTCTCCTATCAACCCAATGCGGACGTGCCTTCTTCATCAGCACTATTGCAATCGTGCATCCTCAATCAATCCAAGATTCTGCTTTTTTCATCATCGATCTCTACATTCTCCCCTTGTTCTCGCCAGATTGATACACGGTAGGGCGATGGTTTGCATCGCCCAATGCTGGTCGGGTCATGGCTTTCGTCTCTTTTTCTCGATCGACCTCTTCGTTGTTGTTGCTTAATTTACGCTAGTTGTACGGGAAGAATCGTAGAGCGAATATACGATATAAATTTTCGTGTTTGTAAAATGTGCATCGTTATCCACTTACCCCTCATGATTTAAAATTATGTCGTTACCTCTCATGATTTTGATATTGCTACGCCAATGCTCCTCTAGATTTTCAAATATTAGATGAATAATTTTGATGTCCCTTATGATTTTGGAAATGGGAACCAACACCCCTCTCTTTTTTTCTTTATTATTTTTCTTTTTTCTAGATTTTTTTTCATAAATGTTTATTAATTTCTTTTTTTAAAATTATTTTTTATAATGTTTTGTGTTTGCAATTAAGATCAATTAAATAAAAAGAATTAACGAACACTTCATTTGTTTGAAATTAAATATTTTCATTTTTTGTCCAAAATGGGTTTTTAATAGTTCATTTTTCACGATACAAAAATTAATGAAAACTTTTCTTTTTACACTAAAGCTTATTTTTCATTTTCAGTTAATTTTCTAATTTCTTTAATTATTTGATTCCCTTTTTTATTTTTTTAAAAAAATGATTATACACCATTTCTTTAATTTTAATAAAAATTAAAATAAAAGAAAAATTAATAGAGAAAAAAATAAAGAAAAAAAGGTATATGAAAAACAACGTTTCATTACTTCAAACACAAACATTTTTTTTCTCTATATGAAAAAAAAAGAAAAGGAAAAAGGAGTGTCAAACCACGAGGCAACACAACTATTCATCTACTAATATTTAATGAATATTTTCGTCCAAAGGAGTGTCAAACCACGAGGGTACCAAACCCACAAAAAATCCGTGAAGCCATAGGACTCTACGTAGTTGTTTAGTTAGGCCTATTTTTTGTCCCCAATCTTGTGTCTATTTCCGTTTGTATTTAAAATGTATGAGATGTAATAGTATTTTTTATCACATCACCAATAATCTCAAGAAGTTTGGAGCCAATCCAACAAATACGGAGTAAATTAGACACGTCGCAGTAGCACCCATGAAAACGGGCTACACTATAATGTTCAAATAAATCAAATTGAAAATAACTTTTAGACAAACATCGTAAATAATAACAAGCAATCTACTTTGGGACAAAGGGAGTACAAACTGCCAGACAAAGTTTTGGGTAACAAGTGTTGCATTGTGATACGCATGCTCAAGCTTCCTAATGGTAGCAGCAAGCTAAGGCAACCTATGAACCTCACAAAAGATAGCAAATTTGCTATAAATCATTTAATCCTCTAATACTTAAGCGTGGGTTGCATCACGAGTGAATTGATATCAAGCATCAATGAATCTAATATCGAATGTATCAGGATGAATCTGCCACACATTTAAAGCTGCATATTCCTCCAGACACTCTTTAAGTTGAGCCTCACTATATCCCTGTTCATATCAGGCCAGATGAATTAATGAATGAAAGATATGCAACCTCATTTTTATACATATATACTACTCCCTCTATCCGGATTGAGCTGTCCACTTCTTTTTTTTTTTTATAAAAAAACTCATTTTAAAGGATTGAGCTTATAATATACAAAATATCCATCAAATGTTTGTCTATCATTCATGTCCACAATGCTCATACCCTATATCTAGGATAATTTAAACCATTCAACATAATATCCTGTTTGAATATGCAAAGTGGACAATTAATTTATGACAATTCAAGACAAGAAAATAGACAACTAAATCCGGAAGGAGGGATAATTGAGTAGAGTGACTGGCAAGCAAGTGAAAAAATGCCCAAACTTAAGCAATTAAAATAAAAATCTAACTCATTCTCAAAATATTTTCTCCTAAACTCTGCCCAAAAAAACAAGATATCCAATTGAAGGGAAACTTACCTTCCTATTAATCCAATTGAGTGCCTGTAGATAGCTGACATCCATCCTGTTAAGCCTAGCTGCTTCATCACGCAAGATTGAATAAATGTCAGATATTGCATCCAAACCAGATCTTTGACGATCATCTGAATACAATGAGAATTTTGACATTTGCATTAAGCGGAGTGCCTCGTCCACATCACTTTGAGCAACAGCATCAGAAAACCTGAGTCTGGCTAGTGCCTGTAAAATCACATGGTAAGTGAAATTACTCCAGCCACAAATATGAGTGAGGCAAAAACAAAAAAGATTGTTTGTTTTTGTTAAGTTTTTTGTTTTTGCTAAGTGAAATACAACTCACTGCAGAAATCCTAAGGATACTGAGGAGTGTTCTGACGGTTGTATAAGAGTGAGGGGTATTGGATTTTGCTTCCTCTTGTCTAATGCTCGAATATGCACTGGCTATATATTCCTCCAGTTCTCTTGGGAGATATGGGGACAATTTCCTTGCAGTTGAAACGTAGGCCCTGAACACAATGTAATCATTCAAGGCAAGACATGCTATTAAACAAGAGTAAAATTCATATTCTATTATACTTCATATCTGACTTTAATACAAATCATCAATTGAAGGGATCATATTAATGTTAAAATTTCAAAACAGCATCAATACATCATACTTACCGAAGCAAAGATGGTTCCAAAGGAGTGAATCCAAGGGCAGGTGATTCATTGTATTGATGAACATGGACAACATGCCTAGCCAGATCGAGGTCAATATCCATGTCGGCACGGTCCAAGATCAACCACATGAGGTCAAATCTAGATAACAGGGCTGGAGGAAGATTAATGTTTTCAGCTGGTGTTCGCCGTAGGTCATATCTTCCCCTGAAATGGGTGTTCAAGTTTAAAAGGATTCATTATAACTGTGTACATATTCGCGATTTAGTTCCTCTTGTTTTAGACACAATGCCTGCATTTTTTTATTCTACACATGTCCCTGATATAGGCTAAAACTAGGAGAAACAATCAATGAGCTTCAGTGTTTCTTTAAAAGAGCAGGAGAATGTCAACTACCAGGCAGGGTTAGCAGCAGCAAGGACAGCAGTCCTTGCATTCAAAGATGTGGTAATCCCAGCTTTGGCAATGCTAACAGTCTGCTGCTCCATCACCTCGTGTATGGCTGTTCTGTCCGACTCATCCATCTTGTCAAACTCATCAATAGCACATATACCCATGTCTGCCAATACCTGATACAATGATGTTAACGTCATCCCCAAAGAAACTCACCATAGGAGAAATGCATTCCTTATGAAAACATGCAATTCTTTGTTTCTTACCAGTGCCCCTCCTTCCAAAACCATTTCGTTTGTTACTGGATCCTTCTGAACGGCTGCAGTCAGACCTACACCACTGCTTCCTTTTCCTGTTGTATAAACACCTCGTGGCGCAACATTAATTATGTGCTTAAGAAGCTGACTTTTTGCAACCCCTGGGTCACCCATCAAACATATGTGAATATCTCCTCGGATCTGTATTTATAGAAGTCATGTATTGAACGAAGGCAAAACAGCAAAGGAGACTAGAGGTCTGAAGCTTAATCATGTCATGAAGTGTATGCATCAGAAGAGAAACATTGATTATTTTAATATTGCGTGCTTAATTCATTAACCTTGAGTTTTAATCTAAAACACGCTGAACTAAAAGTACTCCTTTGTAATTACCTTCATCCCATCCTTCAACTTTCGATGAGGAGCACCCACTAAAAGTAGAAGAAGGGCTTTTTTAATGTCTTCATGTCCAAAAATTTCTGGAGCCAATGATCTTGCGAGCTTATTATAAATATCACCATCCTCAGCTAAGCGAGCAATCTGCTCTTCCTCATCTCCTCTCAGTTCATATCTGCACGCGAACACTAAATGATGGTCCATTCAACTAATTTATTTTACAAGCACACACATCCTTAGCAAACTGAAATTCACTACAAGAAATTTCATATTTTTCATTCCAAGCATTTGCATTGAAGTCGGGCATGCTTAGAAAGTTAAAATTATAAAGAAGGTATATACTATACACCAAAGCAAAAACGGTTCTTTTGACACAGTCCTCGGAGTCATATTATGACACCCCAGGTGATTTGGGGCCTACAGCGCTCCATTGGGCACATCCCCCACCCCCTCCTGCACCCCCCCACCTTGGGCAGTTGGGTTGGGCAACCCAACCCCCTCCCCTGCACCCTTAGACCATCTCCCTGGATCTGGTCTCACCAAAGCACCATAGGGCCCCCAAATCTGCTGGTGTCATAAAATGACACCGATGACGGGTTTTAAAAGAATCAAGACATTGAAATGACATTGAGTATTGCGTACACCAAAGTGACAATCACATTCAGTCTCCATTTCTGCAAAGGTAATATATACTCATCAAGCATTTCAAATATCATAAAAATGCTTACTCCTCATATTTTTTCTTAAAATGGGTAACAGACATGGCTTCCAGATAAGTATCTGCAATTAAGCCTGCTCGCATTGCTCTAAATCCAACAAAGGGGATGGGAAGGAAAATCCCTGACAATTCAACAACATCACCAGGAACTACCTGCCATGTTTGGAAATAAATTTGCATAAATGGTTCAACACAAATCCTCTCTGGCCAAAAAAAATTGCTGTTATACTTCAAAGTTCAAACTCTTGAATGATCATAAAAGGCATGGTCTTGACAAGTCTATTAACTACTCCAGGAAATAAAATTACAACTAATGACCAACCTTTCTTGTAAGTTCTCCCCTAAGGTGAACAGACATTGTTCGAGGAATATGACCTTTAGGCACATGCTCGGCCAACTCTTGAATTTTGGCCTGATGTTAGATCAAAGAGGGAAAAAAAATTATAAATTAAAAGTTCATATAAAATGCAACTGGAATCTGGTGAATAGGCATACCTCCTGAAATTTCAAAAACTTTGATGCTCTTAGTTGAAGAATAAGGTTTCCTTTAACTCTATTTATTTTGCAGCGAGAGGATGGGCATTCAAATAAAGGCATGAATTGCCGTGCAGTAACCTCCTGTTAACCAGATGAAGTAACAATCAGATCAGATAAATGGAAGTTCAAAAGTATGGCATCTACGTTGTTTAAATTGCACCATGCCACATAACTGTAAAGTAAAATATTCAGCTAGCATGAACTATGGGAAAATGAACACATCAATTTGATTTTTAAGCAAGACCCGACACAGCCACCTGATAAATTTCAAATGCACATTGTTCACATGTGTAGACAGCAATCTGCATCAATGGCTTTACATCAGAGCAGCGAGTCACAATCCCAGAAATGTTAACAAGCTGACCGATATATGAAGCCTTAACCTCCCTAATTGTAAGTGGTCGGACTTTTGAAGTTGCAGTAATGTAGACTTCACTGGTATCAGCAGATAAAAGAGATAGTTAGAACCAAAGTTCAATTTTTCCAAGTCTTAAAGTGATAGAATACCTACGGCTCAGCTACCAACTCATTCATGGATGAGCTGAAAAATATGTTGACCCAAAGGACAATGAAAATCTGTTATGCATAATTAAATAATGTCCTCCAAAGCATTGATGTCAATTCTTTCATTTTTTGGATTTTAAAAACATACCTCAACAGCCCAAACCTCTTAGAAATGAATACTCATTTCAGGGGCATGATGGTCATAAGAAATATGATGAGAAATTAGAGCTTCTATGCAGATAGCTTAAGGTAGGATAAAGTTTTTCTGTACTTCGAAGCTTACTAGATACGCTTAATTTCAGGAGGCATCTTTTGCTGTGCATCTGACCCATCCATATTTTCAGAACCTTGTTCACTCCTCTTTGTTATCAAGATATCATCCTCGTCATTAAACTCTTCTGTCGGATTTGGCATGAGCTCATCAATGGCACTGGCAAATACTCCAATATAGCGACGTGTATTTTCTCTAACCCTCTGAAAGAAACTCTCATCCAAATCCTTGTACTATTGGAATAACAAACTATAATTAATGGTAGTCAATAGATATAACATTATGCCATTACCGCACTAAGAAAATAAGCATTACATGAGAACGAGCTGTTGAACTTACACTGGCTAGGTCTTCAAGCTCAATCTGAATAGCCTTGGTTTTCCTATTGGCGACATCAATCTGAACATGGTCCAAAAGGTAACGAGAGAATGAAAGAAGCTCAGCTCATACACTTATTGAACACGAGACTACAGTGGTAACAGAAAATTGAATTCGTGAAGTAAACAGCTCGAAATTAGGGTTAGGATAGGAAACTCACTAGAATATTCATGTATTTGGCCTCGCCATCTATATCAGCGAATTCGGACAGAAACTTTCTGGCGAGATCTGCGATTCAAAAGAAACAAATGTTGTGGCACCGATACAAAATGCATGGAAATGGCGGAGAAAGATCTGACAAACCTTTATCTTTCTCGAAGTCAGAACTATCCATCATCTCTCCTCAGAATCTCGCTGGCCGGACGGGTTCACAAGGATTCACCGCTCGGAGGACCCCTAGTTTGAGTTGCTCTTTGCTGGTGAAGGTGCCCAACTTGAACTAGCCTACTGTTTCAGAAAGGGCTGTGAGGGGATTGAATATAGGGGAAGAGGATAAGTGAGGAGGCTGTTGGCGGCAAATTGGGTTTGGCGGGAAATTGAGTGGGTTACCATCAAGAGCCCTATGAGTGCCTAAGAACATCTCCAACCATGTTAAAATGTCTTGCTATATACTACTCCCTCCTTCTCAAAAAAATCTTCCTATTTCATTTTTTGTACATTTTATAAAATACGTCTATCCCGCCTCAAATGCAAAAAAAGACTTTCAAAATAATTTCTACTCACAATAAATGAGAAATATGGTAAATTTTAGGCATTTTAAATGGGTATAAAAGTGTTTTATAAGATGCACAAAAAATGAAACAGAAATATGTTTTTGGGACGGAGGGACTACAATTTAACAAACTAAGTAAAATTTCATACTTCAAGGGCTTTGCCCATGTTTGACAAGCTTGCTTAAAAATGAAAATAGCTTGCTATTAATAACAAACTTGATAAAATATAGCGAGCCAACAAGAAGAAAAAATGTTGGTTGAGTTAGTTTTTCATGTACCACGATGCATTTGTTCCCTCACTTTAAGTACCACAGAGTCCACAATGCAAGAAAAAAAAATTTTATTTTATTTTTTTACAAAAAAAATCTTATTTTTTACCAAGAAAATCATAAAATTTATTTTATTTTAAGTTTAAATTGCATACTTGCAGAATATTAATTAATTTTTATAAAAAATTAATAAAATCTTAAAATTATAATAAATAGTGTAGTAAATAGTGAAATCAATATATTTTTGTTAAATTTGAGCAAGCAAAGGTTGGAGATGACAATGTAAAATGACTTGCTATACCACTATTCATATGTTAATAAATAACTTTAGCAAGCCATGTTTAGCAAGCGTGATTGGAGATGCTCTAAAGGAAGAGGAAAGGCTATGCATCACAAATCCCTTCTCCACCCCACACTTAATAACTTTAGCCTAGATGCAGGGTCATTAGTGATGTTTACGTAGTTTTAACATTCACATTTAAAATATGAACTTTTTCATATTTTCATAGGTTTTTATATGGATTTTTTCCTCATTACAAAAGGCTCATTTTTTATACTACAAAGGCACTAAGATCCATAAAATAAACATGAATTTTAGATTCACGTAAAAATTTTGCCCATTCCTTCAAAAATATCTTATCCTAAAAATGTGTCAAAGTGTTAACCAGGTAGTGTGAGCATCGGGTAGGTTCGGTCGATTTCGGCCCAAAATTGAACTAACCGAAAAACGAAAAAAATTATGATTCAAAATAACCGAGTGAACCTAACCGACCTTCGACTAAAACTGAACAAATCGAAACCGACAATAACCGAATCGACTTTGAATTTTAATCTAATTCTGAAAGAATAAAAAATAAAAGTCTACTATAATTACAAAAAAAATGCAAAAAATCATATTTAAGACATCTATTGTTAAATATGTACAGATTTAATTCTGATGGATACCCTGGACAGGGGGTATTCGGTCTTTGTATAATATTAGTTGGGGCGGTCCAGTCTGTTGGACCAGCCCGTCAGTCATTTATTAATTATTTATGGGCGGCCCAGTCTGTTGGGCCGGCCCATTAGTCGCATATTTGTTATTTAGGGCGACCCAGTCTGTTGGGCCGGCCCATTATTCCGAAATCCTAACCCTAACTCTCCCTATTTATACCCTCTTCTTGGAAGAGGGAAGGAAGGGGAGGAAGCTAATACAACACACACCACACAAGGATCTTCTTCATCCTTAATTTCAACCGGCGAATCCAACGGCAACCGTGGTCGATCTCTGCGCCCGTTATGACCAACCAGAATGCTCCAATTGAGGAGGAAGAAATTCTGCCCGGATTCGGACCAGCTCATTTCCATATTCTGATCATTTGTAAATCAATTCTGCCCATGAATAGCTTCGCAACCGGCTAAGCATGTCAGTGCCAGTATGCCGACTGGGGACAGTAGACGAAGCGTGTTGCAGCGGCGAAGTAGACATGGGGTCAGTTTCTGCGCTCCAACCCATAATCAAGCAAGTGCCCATGTCTTTTTATTATTATTCCGTATCGTGCAAAAGGAAGAGAGTGGGTCAATTTTGCAGTAGTTGAACCATAGTCAAGCAAGTGGCCTTGTCAATTTTGAGCACTCTCTCATATTATCACTCCTTAAAAAATGCACAAAGTGAAGAGGGCCAGATTCAATTTTAATTGATGACCCACAAGTGAGTGAAATTTAGTCAAATACTACCATACTATGCTCATCTAGATACAAAGGGGTCAGATTTTACATTTAGACCAGTAACGGAGGACTCATACTCATTTCATGTTCTATACAATTTTGTTGCATTTCTATTGGGATTTGTACAAGGACAAGTAGCCGAAAAGGGGATCCATTAATTGGGGTCCATACTCATTTTATGTTCGGTACAATTTGATGCAAATCTGTTGAAACTTATGCACGGAAAAGTACCTGTGAGGGGATTTATTAATTGGGGTTCGCTGTTTGGGGCAATCTCGAGGAGAGATGCCCGACGATTCATCGTCACCTATTTGGTTTCTTTACCCGGGTTCTGAGAAGATTCTCTGATTTTCACCCTCCCTCTTATGCATCTGAGTCAAAATCTCATATGGTCGAGTACGTAATCATCTTCGGAGGCCGAGTTTACAATTTTTAGTGGGGATCAATCCGAGCACGGGAGGGTGACCGAGTCTGAGTGCAAGATCATGACGAGCAGAGTTCGTACAGCAGTGTTGTAAGATCCCGTTCGGCGATGGTGATCTTAGCCGGCTGAGTCTGCTGATGCCGAGTGTACTATATTCGGCCGGGTGCCCGTTCTGATTCCAAATAAATTGAGGGGCCTTGTGAAGTTTATTTTGGCTTTCTCTTCACTCGGCAGGGTACATGTTCTGATATCCGAGTACGATGATCTCTATCACTTCTGATCTCGTCGGGCTATGACCCACCTTCACGGTTTAACTAAGATATGCACCAACTTCTTATCTGAATGATTCCTACTCAGATTTGCGTCATGTTTGCTTCTACAACTTGGATAGTTAAAAAAAAATCAATAAAAAATATATATATCGCTTCCACGCGATTTCGTGTTCGCTTCTACGCAACTTTATGCAGATGTGCATCATCGGGCTTCCACGCCACGATATGGCCTCACGCGGTCCTTGTCATTGCGCGAGCAAATCCCTCCGGAGGGTATTGCAAGGTCCTGCTTAGGACAAAATCTTGCCAGTCCTGCTTAGGACAAATATTAGATCTGCTGAGATCGCACTTCTACGCTACCACGCGTCATCGGCTCCACGCCGCTCCAAAAAAAAAACAAACAAAACAAAACGATAGAGGAATTTTTCATATTTTGTCTTTCAGGTACAAAGCGGAAGACCACATGACATTTGCATCGGAGCCCGCCTAGCAGAGCTCACGGATGACACATTATTTCACCCTTTCATCGAGGTCGGCCTCGGCCACCTCGCGAGTTGCTTAAGCCCTCATCTCCTGAGGCAATTAAAAGTCCTCTCCCGAGGTTGGTCCCATCCACCTCACGAGGCACTTAAGCCCTCGTCTCCCGAGGCAATAAAAAGTCCTCTCTCGAGGTCGGTCCCATCCACCTCACGAGGCACTTAAGCCCTCGTCTCTCGAGGCAATAAAAAGTCCTCTTCCGAGGTCGATCCCATCCACCTCACGAGGCACTTAAGCCCTCGTCTCCCGAGGCAATAAAAAGTCCTCTCCGGAGGTCGATCCCATCCACCTCACGAGGCACTCAACTCTTTTCCAAGGTCGTCCTCAGCCACCTCGCAAGTCGTTTAAGCCCTCATCTCCCGAGGCAACCAAAAGTCCTCTCCCGAGGTCGGTCCCATCCACCTCACAAGGCACTTAAGCCCTCGTCTCCCGAGGCAATTAAAAGTCCTCTCCCGAGGTCGGTCCTAGCCGCCTCACGAGGCACGCGACTCTTTTCCCGAGGTCGGCCTCGGCCACCTCGCCAAGAACTTAAGCCCTCGTCTCCCGAGGCAACTAAAAGCCCTCTCCCGAGGCCGGCCTCGGCCACCTCCCGAGGCCGGCCTCGGCCACCTCACAAGGCACTAAAGTTATCTCCCAGACAATTTCAACTCTTATCCCGAGGTTGGCCTTGACCACCTCGCAAGGCATATAAGCCCTCACCTCACGAGGCATCCTAAGCCCTCTTCTCGAGGCACTCTTCAATGCCGTCCCAAGGCACACCCCTAGCCCACTTTCTAGGGCACAACCTAACTACTCACAGGGTGGGTGATCTGGTCAAGCTTATTGGCCACGCCCACCAGTTTATTTTTCTTTGTATGAGATTTTTTCAGGCAAACTGGTATATGCAGAGAAGTCGCCACAGAGCAAGGGGACCAGAGACTCCCACCAGAGCCGAGCATGGGCACTACTCCCTTTCACCTTGGAATTCTTCCTCGGCTTAGGGAGTGGGGGACTCCGGGTACTCGGCTCGTGATTGTTACACCGCACACCGTGAAAGTTTGGCAGATCAACATCTCGATCTAACGTGGCACTACGATAGTTCGTGCCAGCATGCACTTTTTGGCGATACATTATGGCAAACGGCCCCGACTCCGGACAATGAGTCTGGGGGACTCGAAGAGCCCCTCTTCCGAGTTCACACAGTTTCTTTACTCGAAGACCTCACACCCTTTTTCAATGTCTCTTGATTCACCTTGTGGGACGAGATGTACTCTTTTCTTGATCGAGGATTTTTTCCCATCCTCATGGGTTTTTTCCTCGGCAAGTTTTTAACGAGGCATCCCCCATGGAGTGAACCACACATTCACGGGGTTGTGAGAGGATCCTTGAAGACGACAAATGGACTACATATGACGATTTCCTCACCCACTTATATGGTGATAGTTGTGCTCTGGATAGCAAGGACGATGCCCTTTGTACAGAAGCAGATGATTTCAAGGCAATGAGCAGATTGGTGCAGATTTTTCCATTTTGCCGCTCTGG